CAAACATGCTGTCTCCGTTTTGGGGAGCGTGCATCTCTTTTGCATAAATACAGTCCTTTTTTGCAGAGCATCATCTCTTTAATAATAATGTTTCAAGTGTAGTGGTGGTGTTGGGAGGTTTTCCACTCGTCCACAGTGCACTGCTCGCTGCCGTCTCTTCATGGGAACTTTAAATGAGAGATTATTTACCCCTTATAATTATGGTGGACAATATTAAAAACAACAGCAGAAAAAAGTGAGGGCATGGACCTCATGCTCAGCTTGACACTGAGCAAAAAAAAACAAAAACACACACACTGGTGACTTCCTCAGAACATTTGCCCTTCCACCTGAGGGAATGACAACCAAACATATCTTAAACACTGTGTCCTGTCTGACTATTCTATATTTACCTACCATTTCTGACACATGACACACATTACGGCTCAAAAACCATTAAGGGCCAGTGAAGGGAGGGTGAGCGTAGCATTGATAAGGGTGGCTTATCTGTACAGTGACTCAACACACTCCAGATCACTGAGAACACACAGGGTGGAACATGCATCAATTCCAAGAATGAGAGCAGATGCGGCAACACTCTCCCTTTGCCAATGTAACTTTTACTCCTCTATACGTTTTGCAACCGACCAACTTTACTAATATGTCGTGAGACTTGTGATGTCCGTGCACTTGTGCACATGAAGTCCTGAAGTGTCTCCTCCTGCATGTGTTTTGGAGAGTTGAACAGGTTCAGCCAAATTGGTTGCATCACTACAAGGGCTGAGATCCAGACAGCGCTGCAGTCACACAGACATTAGCACAAACACAGGCAAAAAGACACATCTATTGAAGGGGAGTTTACACATATTAAGGGAAGACAATAAATTAAGAAAAATAGTTACCACAAGCTTCAGAGACCTGCAGGCTGTTCCTGACAACTTAGCTTTAAAATCACTATCCCTCCCATATGCACTGCACATCAACAGGAGTTTGTTTTAGCAAATCAAGGCTTATTGATAAAATAGAATGTTTAACATTTACTTTTAACAACAACAAATGTCTGATGTTATGTAGTGTAATTATTAAGCAAAATCAAGGCTTTTACATTTACAAATATGTATTCAAATGCATGTCACATGTTCCAACCCCCAAAAGTACCCATTAAAAGTTATCAAATGAAGGAAACATACCACATTCATTATATTCCTGAGACTCACAGCACACCAAGGTCTTAATCAAATTCTTCTGGTCCAAGTCCATGTGTGGGGGTAGGTACCATTTCCAAACACAAAGACTAAACAAGGTTTTCCCCCAGTTTTGAGTTTGCAGATGTCTGATGACACTGTTTGTATGTGTGGGTGTTTGTGTGGTCGTTAAAACTAGTCTGTTGTGAAACACAGTGCAATGTGAAACATTAATCCAAAGGTAAATGGCGGGGGTCTCAATCCCTTCAAGGTTGTAAACAGGCTTGTGGTTAAGTCCAAACTTTATTCACTCAAATTATTTTTTTCAACCACTAAATGCTAGCAGGGTTGTAGCAGACAATCTAAAACTGGAGATGTGTATGACAGTCAATGTCACATTTGGATGAGAAAATACTGTAGCTGCAAGGTCGAGTGTCACCGGCTGGTTCTTGAGAGGATCAACCTGACCAAACTTGATGAGATGAAATGGAATGCTGTGTACATTTAAACTCAAAGAACTAATAAATCCAAATAAAGTTCTTTATTTCCTTAAATCCAGGTCTGGATCCTAAAACTACCTGTGATACATTAATGCAACAATAAACCTTTACTTTACTGCTGCTGACTTTGCAACACAAGCCAAGTCAAACAAACGAAGATGTATAAGAACGTACGTGAATGTAGGATAAACTGCCCAGGCATAATAAAGACAATAAAAGAGACAATAAAAGTCTTTAGACAGGCTAGGAGAATAAGCTTCTTCATAAATCTATGACTTCACGGCCTGTGAACAAACCAACAGAGACCCTTCAGGGCCAATAACTCTATTGTGCTGACAGATGCACAGTTCATACTCCAGCACATAAATAAATTATTTATGGGAATTTACTTAACATAAAAAGAATGGTCAGTCTGTTGGATCTCTCTATATTTTAGAATCAACACGCTGAACTTTTTTAAAGGTCACGTCATGACCATTAGGCTTCCCAGTATGCACATTGAGTTTAAATGAGACTTCAAAGATCACTTATTTAGAAAAAAAATATTTGAAGAAAAAAACAAGTATTACTGAGGTCTAGCCAAGTATGTGATGCACTAATTATTTCAACAGGAACAATGGTTTGTAATTGTTTTAAAGACAACATTCATGATATTGAATGGTCTTTTTTCAACACAATAAATCACATTATCCAATGGTTTTCACTCCCCAATCTGAATTAATGGCCAAGGTGATACGCAAGAGCCAGTGTAAGCAGGATGTAGCTTGTCTCATCTTATTTGTTATGTTAGCAACCATTTCCAAGAGTATTACTTTTCCCATGGAACCTAAAAGTCAACTTCCTAAGTTTCAAACTAAAATAAAAACAAGGGGAGCAACGTCGCCTAAATTCCTGAGTTCAGAAACTTTAATTCACTGCAGGGAATTAAGAAAATCTAATTAATAGCAAAACTTCTTCAAAAGAGGACTAAAGCATCCCCATATTGTTTTTACCAATGTGAGAATTTGCTCTTGTGGTGTATCAATGTGTCTGTTTTACATCAAGTATGTTTTTGGCCTACACTAAGGCTGAACATTTAATCAGGTCATAACAAAATGACAGATTAATCAGTAAGTAAAATATTTTTGTAACTGCAGTTCTGTAGTGGTGATTCTGGTATAATTAAAATGACTTCTGCATGGGTGGGTTCCAGTGTGACGAAACCTTAATGTCTGAACATCAGGGGAGCTGCAGCCACAGAGTCATCCAGTAGACACGCCAGCCCAGTGCAGCTGTGTGGTACCCAGTAGTTAGGCCACCACTGTGCTGGGTTACTGAGGCCATGCAGGCTCGAATGTCTTACTCTATACACTTGTTTTCCTCATTATTGAACAGAAAACTGCATTTATCATTCAAAAAATATGGTTGTATTTGTGAGACAGCACAAATGAGGATACACAAAAGAAAATACTTTGTAAAAAATGGTATTGTGACAACCCTATTGTTCCTTTATTTATTATACATACTCCATATAATATTCCATATAATACTATAATTAACACTAATTCTTATTGTTATTACATAAATATAAAGACTAGTCATAATTTCACCTGCAATACGCAAATCAATGTAGTTTGTATCATTGTGAGATCATATACTCTGTGTCTAGATTTAACTTCATGACGTCATCACCTTTAAGCAGCACAAAAAAAACCACTGCATAACAGCACTGCAAATTCCAAGACATTTTTTTATGTTGAGATGAATTAAACAACAACAAAAAAACCCTGATGTGTGTTCAATGCATCAGTCCAGGTGATAATAACCATCATTTTGCACAGAAAATAGCTGGCCCTCTGTGAGATTTAATAACAGCTTTTATCATGGGCTGTTCACATGAATCATTAAACTGTACTGAAACTGCGTCAGACCCTTCACATGTTGTGTAGAGTTACTGTCTACAGAGGGTGTTCAGAAGCTTTCTGCTTGATAAAAGTAGGGAGAGAGAAAGAAATATGTGTCTTGGTGCACTATGTCACTCACATACTCACTCTGGTGTTTCATCAGGACAAGGGAGGTTCAGAGGTTACTACAGAGTAAGTAAACACCAGTTGAAAAAACAATGTCACCAAAAAAATGCAGAAGGTGAAACTACTAATGTATATGATATAGACTAATGTATATATTCACAAAATACAGTCGTTGTCTTTATGTGTAGGTGTGTACGGAAACTTGGATATTAAAACACCAATGGGTTAATAAATCAAAGAAAATAACCAGGTGAATGTTTTTGAAAACCAAAAGGCAACAGGCCTGGCATTTGGCTTATTTACAAAACACAAAAGTATACAACAACTCCTCTTAATTTGTTTAAGACAGAATAACCTTACAAAAATTATACAGACCATTTAACCTAACTGTAGTCGACTGCTCACATAAGCACTCAGTGCCAGGACAATACTACAGTCCCTGCCTTTATTTCCAAAAGACTCCCTCCTAAATGACTACTCTCCAGCCGTAATTTCATCCTGTGCTTTAACTGGTGGTTATAAGATTTGCGGCGGGCGCAGCATGATGTTCACTGACAAAGTCCTACGTTTACCAGAGGAGCATGAGAATGGGAAAATAAATGTGCAAAAATAAAAATGTATCTGGTCGGAAAAGCAGCATGTGACATTTTCAAGGGCCATTTAAAAAGCAATGTTCCACAAGTGGGAGGGACTGGTCGGCATCGGTTCACCTCCCGCTGTGAAAAGCACCTTCAGCTGTATGGTTTTCATTCTTAAACATCATACCGGCTCTTTCCAGCTTGTGTAGTCCAGTCACTCTCACCCCCCACCAAGCTCATTTGACCATTTCTAAATAAATAAAGATGAAGCACACAGCAGCAAGAGTCTCCTAAATTAAATATTTTTGTTCTGGTGAGAGCCATTACGTTTGTAAGACTTTGGTAACATACACAGACACTCCAGGTGGACTTGCTATGAAGACAATGACTGCTGTCAGACACCGACCAAAAAGAAAACTGCCAGTAGTTGCAGCACAATAAAAGCACTGCAGGAAAAAGACCTATTGACTCAGCAACAGCCTTTTGTTGGAAACAGTATTTCTGCCCGAATACGTACAACCTGAAAAAAAAACTGTTTATGGTGCAAGATTTCAATTAATCTAATAATGTTTTGGATATTTTTTTGGTATTTAAACTTTTTGCAATTTCTCAAGAGTAGCCCAAAATCTTCCCAAAAATTTACAGATTACAGATCTTTAAATTACATATTATGGAAAAGAAATTCAACCTGCCCGAAGCCTGAACTTTTCTTTGCTAGCTAGTCAGGAGGTTTTCGTGTGCGACTGTTACCTTGCAAACAGTTTCAACATCCCATGGCAAGATGGTCTGTAAATCAATGAGCTCGCACGACACTCCTAGTTTCTCCTGGGCGAGGTTTGCAACCTCCCTCAACACATGGACCTGAGACAGAAAGAAATACTTGGTTATTACAGGCTGACAATTAATTAAATAAGTAAATAAATGTATACAATGCGTATGATCCTACCATACAATACAGAAAAAAACTGTTGCATATTCAACATGAAAACTGATCTTTGTGACTTTGTTTGTTTCATGATTGCAATCACAAGTAGAGCTCAGTTTAAAATTACTAAAAACATACACATAAATAACTGCTGTCAGCAGCTATTAATGTCCATAAACACCCAGATAACAAGTTATGATGTGGACTAGAAAGATAGATTCTTGGTGCAGTTTCAATCAATGATGTTAACTGACAACTGTTTTTAAACCAATTGAATTCAATTTAATGGCCACAGTTTAACATCTGCTTTTATGAATACGATGAACTTGTCCACAGTCACCAGATGTATATCTACTAAATCCGGTACGTTTGGGATGTGGAAGAATTTACAACATGTCTGTAAATCTGAAGAAATGATGCAATGTCAATTAAAGTCAAATTTCTAAAACAGTCCAAAGGTAAACAAGTTTCAGAAGTCTTCACAATATATAAAATAATTAAAATCACTAGTAATCATTGTTGCAGGCAGGAGCAATGTAGTGTTATTGTGCTAATCAAGTATTTCTAATTGAAAAAAAATGTTTTTTTTTAACATTCTATGGTTTATTTTGTGCAGCAAAAACAGCAACTTGCTTTTTGCTGCTTTATTCCTCATTCTCTTTTGTCTGCCCTCAAACAACAATATGAGCTTTGTTGAAGATGTTTTCCACTTCACGACCTTTGACATCCCTTCCATTTACCAATATGATGGCTTCATAAGCCTGTTAAGAGTGTCTGCACATAATCCAACTTAGAGAGGAACCCTGGAGAGTTACAGTCACCTTCATACAGAGCAGGGGGAAATAAAACCCCTTGGATGAAAAGAAAAGCAATAATGGAACATGTACAAGAGAAATGTAGCGTTAACATGTGGAGAGCCAAAAACAGCCCGGACGTCGTGGAGATGTCTGGGCTGATACAGCCGCAAAGTGCAGACCAAGAGATCCTGCTGGGACAGAAAGGGTTTGTGATAGACTTATAGTTAATCCACTGTTTGTCTCTGTGGCTGAACATGAGAGCCGGCTCATTTTTTCCTGTGGCCATGGAAAACGATACAAAGGTACATGGCAGCTGACGGAACAGCTCAACTCACCCACAAAGACATTAGTTCTGCATGAGATGCCTTACCTGTGTCCCCCAGGCAACCAGTGTGACATCACTTCCTTCCTGTAGGACCTCAGCCTGGGAGAGTGGGATGGTGTAGGACTCCACAGGAACTTGCTCCACTACAAAGAAAAAAACCACATGGACAAGGGAAAGACTTTCATTAAAAGATATGTCAGTGAAAACGTGCAAACACATGCAAATTTCACGTGCACAAATCCTCAAGGTTCAACACACATTCATTCATTTTTACAGGGTATCCTGTGGTTTCGTGTAAAACTCACTGGGCTACGTCTGAAAGGCTAGACAAGAAGTAAAAGTGGTGAAATGACAGGCAGTCAGAAAACAAAAAATTCCAACTCTAGAACATTTTTACTGGCCTATTTTCAAGAGCTCTTTCACGCTTTTTCCAAAACCTCAACTCTCTACAGAGGTTTGGTTTACTTTTATCAGCACAAATGAGTGCAGGGATCCAATGATAAAGTTCTGCCAGCAACAAGCTCATAACCCCAAATAATCTCAACAACAAACTATTGATGGCATGGGTAGACGGACCACAAAGAGAAACACTAGTCCAAAAATAGAGGGGGGGCTTCCAGCCAGCCTGCCACTCTTTGAACTCTTCACAGGCCAACACAAAGTGCTTGTAAGTATGCGGTCTGGGTAATATTTAATAATGTGCTGGAAAACTGAGGCAAAGACATGAAAGTCATCAACAAGGAAAAACAACACAAAGTCAAACTGCGATTACTGACATGTAGCCGCTTATCACCACCCAAGTGGCAGAGAGTCAACGTCCTCACAAAAGAAACCTTTGGCTGCAAAACAAGTAGCGCAAAGGACGGGAGATGATTTGCAGTCTGCCGTGATGGGAAGCTCGTTCGGGAAGCCCTGACATGCATGAGCTGTGTGAAATTCCAAAAGACGTGGAGAAAAAAAAAATTGATTCTGGTATAACTACGACTATCCATATAGAAAAAACAGTGGTCTGTTAATCATATCCAACTCCTGGTTTATGAAATCCCGGGCGTGACGTAAGAGCATTTTAAACAATGCATAAAGTCAGTTAAAAGTAGACACCAGAAAGGACAAAGCATGACCCACAATGCAATTAAAAACAACTTCATCATCAGGCCTAGATCATTGGAGGCATGTGCACCTGGAATGAGAGCTCACTTCCTCTATGCCTTTAGTAAAAGCCAAATAAATCATGAAACACTACCATGACGAAGCCCACGTGCTAGAGAGCAGAGCATGAGAGTTTTCATACTTCTGTCAAAACACACAGATTTGTGTTCACTTTGAGGATAAAAAAAAAAGAAACAATCCCTGAGTGGACTTGACTCAGTCTTATCTTGTCACTGCATCTTAAAAACTGTTCTAATATTTTTATAAACAATACCATCTGGAAGAGCTGCACAGAACAACACAGACATGAAGTCTTTCGCTTGCACAGCTTCATCCCACTGTTCCCCCAAAGGGCTGACAAACAAGCGAAAATGTTAACCGACACTGAGAAGAACTTAAGACACCTGCATCTGCCTACCCTGTCATATAACAACGAGGGATGGAACTTGTATTACATTATCATATTCAGAGTGTTATAAGGGATTTCGGGAATGGGTTTAATATCACATTTCATGACGATATGTAGACAAAGCCACAGACAATGTGAGAGAGATGTCACGAACCAGGTTTTGAGGAGAACGGCTGATAAGTGGTTTTGTCATTTGATTGAACCGTCAAAACAGAAAACATTAGTCAGGGAGATCACTGCAGCTTAAATCCCGTCACAGTTAAAGTCTGTTCTCTTTCACACCATCTTCTGGCTCTCTTCAACAAGAGCACAGGGAGGTTTCATGTTGGGGCCGGTAGCAACAAAGTGTCCTGATTCTGTCTCAAGGATTCAACATCATATTAAACATTTTAACACCAAATATCAATGAGGTATTTGTTGAGTTGTCTGTCCAAAGCCACAAAGGCCTTACACTTCTTGCTTGTTAAAAAACACAACGTTGCTTGGTCTGCACTACAGTACATTTGTGTGTGCATCTACATCACACTTGGTTGCACTCACACTGTTTACATTCTGGCAGGGCATCAAGCTTGCTTGTCCTGTCATGTGCTTCTAAATGGCAGAGCATTTGCTTTGAATAAAAAAGCCAACTGAGTGAACAGCAGGCCAGCAGGACGTCGCGGTGTCGGAGGCTCAACATCAGGCTATACAGGTAATCATTTGACTAAAGAAAACATTTTCTAATTGTAATTGGTGTAATTATGCTCCATCTGAATTATATTTTCACATCTTTAAGCATCAATCTGTATGGCATGGTGAAAGGTAAAAAACTGTTCTTAAAAAATGAACATAGTCTTGTTTAGAAGAATGAAACAGAACAGAGGAAAATTCTAATTATTGAATACGTAATAGAAAAGAGGAAATTCTGAGTTCATCTCTTAAAGTTGCTATCAAAAGCAACAGTATATACACAAACTGCCCCAGGGCAACCAACAACAATCAATTTAATCCACTGTTCACATCACTGTTCTGTGAGTTTTAAAATGGTAAACTTTTTATTTAAATTTAAGTTGTTTCTGATCAGATTCCAAATAGGAGCCGCTTCCTAATGTGGGAAAAGGGCCTAACAACATTTCTGTAGCTACCACATCAACGTGACAATGTTTACAACATTTTGTGGAATTTATTCATGTTTTATATTCATGCTATACATACTCCTTAACTTACCCAAAGGTTAGACAAAAGTCCATCATATTTAAAATTACCTGCTGCTCTGTACATGATCTTGGGCTCAAAGAATATGCATGGATTCTTGTCAGCGATGCAAGACAGTAGCAGACCCTTGGCCTGGACTGGTCCACGTGGGATTACAACCTGAGGAGAATAAAATCCACTTAATTTGGCAACAGCAGAGAAATATCCAGATGAAATATTATTTTTTGCAAAATTATTCTTATCCACTCAACAGAATATGTTGCCATCATTTTGGCCAGATGTATCTTGGAAAAAGGAATCTAATCTTTATGGGATTAACATGATAAAAGGTGGGTTGAAGAAAAAAAACTAAATTAATGTGAGAGTTTGATTTTAATCATCAAAATCATTTTCAGTTTGTGATAAACCTTTGGCTAACAGCAATGCTAGTATGTGCACCAGGATTAACACCTTTGCAGACAGACATGTTTATTATGGCTCTCAGCTGTGGTTCCTCACAGTGCAGGGACTGTGATCGGAAACCAGACGTTTATGATTTTATACATTATTGTTTTTTAGTAATCCAAATTGTTTATTAAAATGCACATGGACATTTTAATAAACAATTAAAATGTCCATGTGCATTTTAATTTAACACGTGCCTGGAGAAAAACAAACAAACAATGGAAAATAATAAACAGACACACGTATGTATTCCTTAATCTAATAAATAACAAGGTAGTTTTTGATTGACAAAAACAGATGACAAAATTAGCAACTGGAAACCAGCTTCCGAAGCTTGGTTTTTATCTTGAAGTGAGGTTACACAAAGGTTTGAATGACGTATATTTTGTCATCAGAGGCAGCGTGTGCGGTTGTGTGCATACCAATTTGTGGATGCATAATGCTGCTGCAGGAGGACTGAAACGCAGCGAACAGACTCCAAGCAGACTAGAACGAAGTATAATTAAAAACAACAACTTGCTTGTGGTTCACAGCTGTCTGTATGTATGCAGATATGCAACAGTGTAATTGGGGCTTTACACCCAACTGTGGACAATCCTAAAGGCCCAAGCTGCTCCTTTGCCTATTTTCCATCAAGGCCCTCTTCAGGATAATGTCGTCACTGATAAGATTGTAAAACAATACAGTACACAGGAACATAAATAATATAATACACTCAAGGCTAATGGTTTGCTAGAATTTTTTTTCAAAATCTGACTTGAATGTTGACAGTTCAGGAAACGAGTTGGAATCGTGTTTTCTGCAGACTAAATTTTATACTAGAATTGGTGAATTATTGCCAAAACCCAGAATAAAGGAGTCCGGGAGTCCGAGAGCCCAAGTCCAAGAGTAGGTCAACCAAGTAAGACACGTTAAGACTGTCAGGCATGTCAAAGTGCTATGAAAGGGAAAATCACAAAGACTTTGTCAAGCGTTGACTTTTAATTTGATCTAGATTTGGAGCCCATATTTTAAAATTAGAGCCACAATAAAACATTAACATTACATTTAACCAAACTTGAATGAGAGCTAATAAAATCGCTTTATTGGGAGTCCTCGGCCACCACAGCTGTTGTTTAAGCTTGGATTAAGCGAGTGAGGAAGGGCAGTGTAGAGCTCCAGGGAAATACAGCCCACAGCATCGACAAAAACTTGAGCTTGTGTAACAGCTAATGGAGTTCGAACTTTGCGTAGTTCAGTTTTGTGAATATAAGAATGCCAAATAATTTTCAGTCATAATAATACAATGTTATACTCAGCAAAGCCTGTTCAGAATACTTTACTTGAATTCAATCAAAAAAAATCTTCCACACTGTCCTTGCGGCCCTGATCTAGATTTATTTGATTTATTTATATATTTTATTTTCCAAAAAAACAAGAGTAGGTGAAAGAAACTTAAATTATTAAAATGGCTCCATATAATTATAATGAGCTAGCTGGAATTACACAAAGTTAACAATGAGTAAGTATTTTAGAGATGATTTTGATTAAATTTTAATAATAACCTACTGTGGGGCAGTGGTGGGTGGGGCAGTCGTGGATTAGTGGTTAAGGAAGTGGACACCACTGAGGTACTCTGAGCATGGCACCGCCCCCACACACTGCTCCCCGGGTGTTTAAAACTGCTCACTGTTCACTTTGGTGGTGGGTTAAAAACAGAGGTCACATTTGGTTGTGTGCAGTGGTGTGCTGTGTCACCATGACAAGTAGTTTACTTTACTTTCCTTTCCTTTCCTTCCTGTTTGGAACTTCAGTAAAGGAGATAAGATATTATTATAGTATAGTAGTTCAGACTCTTTCTCCACCAGGATATTGGAGACCCAGTACAGCTTAGCCTATTTACTTAGCCTAGCATGTGACCTTAAAAAGTCACATTGGTGTCAAACTAAATACTGAATGTTAAAAAAATAAAAAAGCAGATTCCCAGAGGAACCATTTCAAGCCAGCCAGGATTCAAACCTAGAATCTTCTGATCCATAATCAGACACATAATCCATTGGGCCACTGGACCACAAAAAATGATAATGATTTATTTACAACAAATCCAACACAAATGTTTATATTTTGGTCCTGTGCTAGTGTTTTGTGCACATGTCAATAACACCGTGACAACCTTGACATGTTTCTCTTCCTGCAGGTGAAATGAAACACAACAGGTAACAGATACCTGCCAGAGAGAAGACTACCTACTAATATTGGTTCCGTGCAACAACACCTATTATATCCTGGCCTTTTAATCAGTCAACAATGCAATTTTGTGTTTGTGTCCCTTTTTTAGATCTCCAGATGTGTGGCTGTTGTTTGTTTGTCTACTAAAAACAGATAAAGGAAACTGACAACAGTTTCTGATTTAACAACCTGGAAATAAATACGGATGCAAATCATTTTCTCGTAGGAACAAAAACACAATCTTAAATATGCCCCAGTGCGGTGTACACAAAGTTCAAGTATAAGGAAAACCCCAGTACTGGGCAGATTACTGCATGGCAGGGAGAGGAACTTGGAACGCAGAGTCTAGTCGAGGATGCCAGCAGCAAAACGTATGTCACTACTTACGTCAGTTAAATTCTTTATTCAAATTATATCAGCAAAAGCCAAAGAAGGCTTCATCTCTAAATATTGACAATATGATCTATACTCCTTTATGATTAAATACTTTAAATGTTTTAACTTCTCATGATCTGATGAGATCATAGGAAGCATCTGTGCACATTGTTCCATCTCTGATGATTTAAGTGATGTTTGATTTACTGCTGTTGTTTAATGTGAGCTTGTGACATGGAGACATGTAAATCTCAGATGTCGGAATTTATTATTCTCCTTTAAGGTTTTACGGGAGAAGCTGCAGGAAGAGAAATATGAATGGAAATGTATTTCAATTCTCATTATTAAAAAATATTTTTGTGTTTGCGAGAATTTCTCCCTTTATGTATTTTTTACCGTTCAAGTTATTTTCGTCTCAAGTTGTATAAAACTAATGACTGTTAACCAAATGCCGCTGAGACAATGCTGTCAGCCCCTTTTGTCAACCTAGTTTTCTGCCAAAATATTCTCTGACATATCTTGGAGTGAAACACAACATTGCCTTTCAAAGCCTAGGAAAAAGAAATCCAAGTGAGAGGGCTGACCTTGAGACCAGGGGCGTGGGCAAAAAAGGCCTCCGGGCTCTGAGAGTGGTAAAGTGATCCGTGGCCAACACAACCCCAGGGAGCACGGATGGTGAGGTTGCCACAGTCGAACAGGTCGCCAGATCGGTAGCGGTACTTGGCTGCTTCGTTGACTATCTGGAAAAAGTCCAAAAGCAATTCAGGTTCACACAGCTACAGAAAAATGAAACAGCAAAAACTGTACCTCCACCGTACAACACAGTGAGATTGTACTGTTGTATTTTGGTCTATGAAGTCCATTATGTTACTGAAAAACAAACAAACATTGAAGCACAGAGAAACCTTTTACTGGTTTTATGACAAAGACCACAAAAGTGGACAAAAGATTTCAGGCTGCATCCATGGGATTCTGGTATTCCTCTCGAAGCCTTAAAACCAGACATTTTAACAAGCACCTCAACTGTCTGGTTTCTGTTACCTTCCTCTTTAGTTTTTACTCCCTTAAACACAGGTGGGCTGTTAATTCTGCTTTTATGTTTCTCCGAGGTCAGTTTGGACGGCGCCGTTTTAATCGAGAGCACAGAAGACGTGAAGGAAAGCCCACTGTGGTCCTGACACTAGGTTAGATCTACTGTACTGAGCCCATTACAAAGCAGATGAAATATTAGGCTTCCTTTTACACCACTTTCAACAAATATATGCGACTGATATATGCTAATGCTGCCCCGTATCATGGAAGTGAAAGAGCAGTGTTGTAGTCGTTCAAGTTTCTTCCGAGGTAGAAAATTACACTGGGTTTGGTAAACCTCTACAAGAGAAGTACATGTGCAACAGAAACCACAAGGAAGATAAGAGAAAATAAATGAAGTCACGAGATAGGCTGCCAAGAATATCAAATGATCCTTATCAATTTTCCATGACTTATTTCTCTTAGAATTTTTACATGTTTTAATATTTTCCTTTTTTTTTATTTTTGCACAAGTTTGTCTTTGTGCTAACTCAGATACTGGCAGTCAGATTTAATGACTATTTAATGTGTGACATTAACAGACTTTTAGCTTTACAACCGTGAAACTTTGCAGGCTGCTTCATCAGGCAAGCAAGTTTAGCCAAACTTACTTTGGGCTTTTTAATGGTGCAAAATAACTTGGTGTTAGACCGTGACCTAAGGCTCTCCAATGTTATTTTCTACAGCAATTTTAACCTTTGTGGCTTACTAACCCTGAACTTTAAATAGCTGACTGACCAAAAACATGGATCTTTCGTCTTCACTACTATTCACTAGTTCTTGGGATCAGGAAAAGGCTATTGACTTTAAGGCTGTATATTTGGAAGTAGTTGTTTTTTTCCCTTACTGTGACAACTATGAGACATTGGGGTAATGAAAAAAACAGGAAATATCAGGAAGAAAAAAAACAATAACGCATATTCCTCAGGGCATCAGCAGGTGTCCACAACTTAAGATTTAATAGTATTACAAATTAATTTTAAGTGATATTTCATCTACACTTCTGTCAGATAAAAGAATAAACAATGAGACAAATCTGAGGTCAAACCTGGACACAAACAAACCCCATGTGAAGTGATGTGACATTTTGTTTGTGTGCAATTCCTTCTTTAAACAGATTTACATTGCACCAGTTTTATATGCAGCTCACTTGTGCTCTAGTTATATGTCACTGACAGTATTTTAGTATAACTGAACAGGTGGTGAATCTCACTTGGTCAAAAGCAGGAAAAATGTAATCGGCAAACTGGATCTCAGCAATCGCTGTGGCTCCTGCAACAGCTACTCCGATACCAAATCCCACAATCCCTTGCTCACAGAGGGGAGTGTTGAAAACTCTGTCCTTCCCTGTAAAAAAAATGGTTGAAAAGATCAAAATACTGAAACATCATTGAGGGACAATGTTGAACAGGTTTCAAATTCTGTTATTTAAAACTAAAAATGAATTCAAAGGTATGATCCCCAGAATTAAACACTGCATGACCTGTCACTTTTGAATGTAAAGGATAGCTCAGGAATAACAATTTCATCGGAACTATTTCACCTGTTGACCGTGGAATAGCAGTTGCAAAGTCATGCTGCAACAATACTTGAAATGTCAAGCAGCCTGAAAACAAATGAAGTGACAAGCTGATGCCTCTTTTTCTGCTGCAGCCGATCACGCCGGCGTCGGACCAATAATCCTATGAAGTCAAAACAAATTCATACACACACGCAAAAAGAACTATTTTCTACTCTCTACCCTATAATACAGCAACAGACCACAAGAGTGGGCATCTAAATATGGAGTGGAGTATGTTATTTTTTGCTTTCATCTTTTGAGTATTTGCTAATTCTGTCCTTGTGTTGTGCCTTTTTGTGTGTTGCCATTACACAGCAGTGGAGCCTCGCTCTGCCCTGCTTTGTGCTCGCAAAGTTCAATTAGCAACCACAACACCACAAGCCCTCAGAGGAATGAACAATTAACTGATCAAAATTTAGCAGCTCAGTGTTCTGACTCATCCAACTTCATGTGAAAGTGACAGTAAAAAAACAAAAACATGGCTGCATATGTTTGTGTGTGTCTGTGCATCATTTCAGCAGGTCATCAAAACAACCAGTGTTAAATCAACGACTGAAAAAGCACATTAAACCCTGTGGATGCAACAAACTCTTATCCTGCAGCCGTTGTTTTTGCCTCAGTTGTTCACATGAGCTGGAGATGAGATTTTAAATAGAAACATGTTTTGGGAAAACTTTTATTGTTGGCGCTTTCTCAGTAAAAAAAGGGCTACAAAAACTGGAGAAACATGTGCCTTTGTTTTCTGGGAAATTGTCTTGTACAAGTAGCCAGTAAGAACCCAGCATTGGTGCCGAATCATCAACCTGAATGTAAAGAATAAGCCTCTCATATAACGTCCACTCTGCATTAACCTCTCCTCTGTACAACTCCTGTAGGTGGCAGAGGTTTGTGACACCTCTTTCAACAAAATGACAAAAAAGGGGAAAAAAGGGAGTGCATCCTTCAGTGAAGGCAAGGATGAGATGGAACATAATGATCCCTCTCCAAAGGTCAACACTTCTGACGTCAATGAATACAAAAAACAAAGGCCGGATACTGTGACAGCCTAGGGCTTTTTCACTATCAAAAAAAGGTAAAAACGTCAGAATAAAGCAGGAAATTAAATTCTATTGAAATCCAATTAGTTTATGATGATAGCCCACAATAGAACACAAAACAAAAAGACTCAAGTCATCCTTTGGCCAAACTAAAGCACAGAAAGTTTAGGCAGATTTCTGAATTAATGCAAAACCAACATGACCCAGCTTTTCAGCATTTCCTTTGCTCAGTCAGCATAGTGAGGCAACACAGTAGCTTCACAAATAAATCTAAATAGATCCTAAAATAAAACACATGTGGCTTATGACTCGCGCACTTTGTAAATCACAAGATTAAATGTTGCTTTGTTTACATATGGTGGACTAGGTGCATCAAAGATGGATAAGATTAATGAGAAAGGTTAGAGATAGTGAAAGAGATAAAGAAAGATAGAGACAGACAGTGAGAGAGAGAAAGATGGAGGAACAGAGTGAGAGAGAGAGAAAGAGAAAGAGAGTGAGTTAGTGAGTGAGAGAGGGGAATTGTGGTTTTCATTTAAAGTAAAAAAAAAATCTATCTGAGATACACTACGTATACATACTGTATGTTCAAAATAAATCACAATGTTACTGCAATCAAATACAATTAAAATGAATGTATGAATATACTTTTGTGACATTTATAACCTTAACTCTCCAAATGGAGTAAGTTAACTCCAGACTTGGACTTTAGTTCACACGAAATCAGCTCAAGGTATCAAATTGGTGGAGCCAGGCCACCATAGTGGATGAATCAGTGCAAACGGATCCTTCTGGTCCGTTAGGTGAACAGTGAACCGTAATGTGGCCCTGTGAGAAACGTTAGTGTGATTGGTCACAGTCCTGTGTTGCCACCTAGTGGACTACATCTTAAAAAGCAGTCCGGAGAACAGGTGGGAAACTTCAGGAGAATGTTAGGAATTAAGTGAAGGTTTGTGATTCTGCCATGGATTTATTTATCTTTTCATTCTGGGTCACGGGACAGCTGGAGCTTATCCTCCCAGACAGTCGGTGAGGACAGGGTGTTACCTGGATAGATGGTTTAGGATCTAAAATAAACAAAGGTTAGACAACTTACCATATTTGTCTCTCAGACCAACAGTGCATCGGAAAACTCCCCCAAAGGCAACATCTTCTCCAAAGATAACTGTAAATAAACACAAAGACAATGACTAGATGTTCTGTGAAATTCTCTGTCTACACCACAGAAAACACCCGACGTGCAAGGGCTAACAACTGGAGCACAACAGTAATCCTGTCTGTGGCTCTGGTAGAACGTCAACTTGGCAGTGTCCTGATCAAATAACTCACAGTGTCTATTCTCAACATGGCTGTTATGTAGACCGGGTCTTAGTTTAGACAACACTAAAAACACCTTTGTTTACAAATGATGTAGATGTTGCTCAAATGTATACAGTGTCCTTAACCTGTGAACGAGTACTGTCAAAATGAAGAACCAATAACCACAGTCAGAGTACAGTTGTATGGACCTAGAAGGGCTTCAACACAAAAATGGTGCATTGTCATAGGTTTTACGGCAGCAAAACTAACCTTAATCTATAACTGGGTTTTTAAAAAATGTGTCAAAGCAAAATGTCAGCTGATTTCATCCTCTTTGTGATATTTTCTGATGTGGATGCTATCTGCAACAGGCTGGTGATGTATAGAGGAGTGATTTTCAAAATTTGCCTATAGAGTTCTTTGAAATTGTTAGCTACTGAGCAGAAATTTTGACTACAGTCAGGGAATAAAAAAATACAAAGGAAATAAAAACCAAACTGTCAGACAACAATCTGTTTATTTCTATGGTTCTGATCATGTAATACCAGCTGTCCATGCACTGAGCTAATCACCTGCAGTCTCCTCACAGCTGACTATATAAACCAAATAAGCTGACAGTCAGAGTATCAGTGACCTGAAGCAAATATAATTGAAATTCTAAGTAAGATATATTTCTGTTAATTTAATAATCAGCATCAAGGCTTGAACCACTCATTTAACATACTCACCACCAAACTAAGGCAATGGAGTAGTTGAGTACAGGTCTACTGTAGTGAGTGTATGTTAACAATCAATATTACATTAACAACAAATATGACAGCATATTTTAGTGCTTGTACCTTTCTGTTCATCTGATTAAACAAAGACACATTTATAATGTAATTAAACATTTCCAAAAAGAAAATCTACCTGCTGTAGGATCATTGGCAAGAGTGTTGTCCAAGGCACTTGTAACTGACTGGAACAAGTTCATTTTCTGTGTAGGACCTGCAAAATGAAAAACGTTATTAAATGAAACATGTCATCAAGTTGCTCGAGTCATAACAGGAAAAGGCAACAATTGGGACAATGGCTGATACTTTAAATATTTGTTCGTTTAAAAAATGTAGAAGATTTAGATTTAGAAGTTCCATGATCAGTTCTGCCGGTTCCCTGGGCAAATATATGCTTGTTTGTTTTTTAGTTTTTAAAGCTGCAATAGGCTTAAACTGCACGGGGAGCTCCTATATCGTACTTTACATAATCTGATTGTTATACATTAAAGCATATTAGTGCATCTTCACAATTTTGGGTTTTTTTGGCATTTAATTTGCAAAACTAATGATTGTAAATGTAAAACAAGTGCACTCCAATTAGATTGGAGATCTTTTGCACAAATGTTTAAATAAAACAAAGAACGTTTGAGACGCTGGCAATATTACTGTCACGCAGCTGTGGGTCCAAAACACACGGCACATCTACGAAACTGCATAACGACATAAAGTAAACTCCGAAAATTACAGTTCCTTCACTTGGTCGCAGCTAACGTTAGCCGACTAGCTAACAACTCACCAAACTGGGTTGGGACAGGGTCAGGCTGGAAAGTAAAGTGCGCCGCATGTCTCCGCTGTGTCTTTATACCGGAGTTGCAGTTCAGCGACAGTTTTAAAAACGTTGAGCCGAACGAGCAATGAGCCCCGCTGCCCACAACAGCAATGGGAAGTTTTGAGTTTGCACCTCGGATGAGGAACCGTGCAGCAGCCGCCATCACTGTTGATATCACAGACCAGGAAGGGCACGATGAAACTTAAGTGTGCAGATCGTCTAGCACAATAAGAATACGACTCTTGGAGATGTTTTTCTTATATCAAGCTGAAACCAACCAATTTTTCCAACAGTCAACCTTGTCAAACCTATGTTTGGTTTTGTTTGGAAAGCATTTTTTCTTATGACATGAGAACAATAAAAAAGTATATTTTCACTACAGTGATCACTTAGTGATTGGTCATTTATCAGTATACATATTTGACATTACGTTCAATGTAGATCCTGGTGTAATTAATCAATTTGTTGTTAATATGATAACAGTCGTATGAAACCACCTACAATTAATTTGCAGATAATACTACCAATTTGTTTTGGGTAGAATTGCCCGCTGGACCTACGGAGCTAAAAGAAAATATTATCAGAGTGAGACGTCCTGTTTCTTTTGTCACCATATTAGCGTCACTTGCGTATTAAGGCTACAATTGGTCAAAACGGAGGGCGTGTGGCTTAAAGGGGTTTGTGGATATGCCTGAACGAAAGTCGAGAATTTGTCAAGAATTGAAGACACTATCAAAGTGAAGAAAAACGTTTATTCTTGATTAAAGCTATTTCATTGTTCTTGGTACATTAAGTGTACACCCCTTTAAAAAATACTTTTATGTAGTCATTGCCAAAGGGTCTTTAACCTAAAGACCTAACTTTTCCATACCATTGTTAAGATTAATAACCTAATTAATGTTCCTGGAATAGTTTCATAACAGAACTGACCTGCATAGATATAAGACAGAGTATAATGTGTAAGTATAAACTGATTGAATTATGAAAATTAATCACTCAAAAATAATAGTTGTAGTTGAAGTATTTTAAACCTTTATTTCTAACTATTTTTGTCTGAATGACAGACTTGAATACACATTTTTAAACATAGGGACCTAGGAAGTTTAAAGTTCAACTGTAAAATGAAAAAAAAGTTACGTTATCTTGCATTTTTAGAACAGAAAACGTGTGATTAGAGAAACCAATCTATTGTGTTTACTAACTGAACTATTATAATGACTAAAAGTTTATTATCAAGGCACATATGCAAAAATGACTTGTTTCAAGGAAATGGACAGAAAAATACAGTTTACTTGTGTCAACATTTTCTATATATACACACAGTGGTCAAGGGTAAATAAAAAAATACAAGACAAATAAGAATTTCTCAACAACATATCACATTTGCTAGCGTTCTTAAGTTGATGACTTTGCACACTCTGCGACATCCAGCCTCCCACCACTGTTACACATTTTGGCCAGATTCTGTAAAAAAGAAAAAAAAAAATCAAAGCAAAGTTAGCAGTGAAGAACAATACAGACTGTAAAAGTAAAAAAAATATATATATATACTAAAACTTACATTTGCAGCTCTAATGATACTGTTAGGGGACTGGAGGGCGGCCAGGTCTGTTAGGATCTTCTTCAGATCATTGTTGCATGCAGGTTCTAAGAATGTTATTTTGATGCATTAGAAATATGGTATTTGTAAAAAGAGAGACTTTGGGCAAGCTTGCAATTATGTACCTGATTGAGGTTCTGCTTTTTCTTTCAGCTGCAGATAAGGATGTTCCAACAGCTCTGCAATAGAGATTCGCTCTCTGGGGTTTCGTACCAAGCACCTCTAAAAATAGGTCAAGGAGGAAGAAGTAAGGTCCAATTGTAAGAAGAATAATTAATAATAATTCATGATAATTATTGGTACATAGACACAGTAACCCTTTTTTAGACCAATTATAGTACAAACAAGTTAAAGAAATTAATGCATTCAAACATTTTAAAATTGCTTCTCAAAATGCTGTACTTGTCTATTGTTAAAAAAAATTGCAATTGATTATAACAATATAAAAACTATATAAAAATAAGAACATAAAATTATCTGTGCTAAAAAGCGTTGAAAAAGCATAACTGTAAGAAATGTAACAGAGCTGTTAACACTAAAAAAAAAGTTTTTTCCTGTGCAGTTCTTATCTCTTACCTTCAACACGTTAAGCAAATCTTTTTCAGAAATGTCAGGAAAATTAATCAAATGGGTAGGGTCAATGATGGCGTGCAGCTTAGTTATCTGATTGGTGATGCTTTGAAATGGCGTCTTCCCATAGGTCATATAGTACAGAATACATCCAAGGGACCACACGTCACCTTTGGGGCTGATCTGAAATATGAAAGGAGAATATTTTATTAAAACTCGTTAGCAATTAATTTTTACACGTGACTCTAGTCAAGGGGAGGGAGTACCTTGGAGCGAGCTTTTCCCGGCTGGGATGATGTGTCTTTAATGGCTTCAGGAGGCATGTAATTAAGTGTGCCCACCTGTGTTTAACAAATAGGGTATGTATTTTTGAAACCAGTAAAGCAGTGTCACTTTTTTGTTAATGTATTTTATTGTGAGGAAGAAAAAAAAAATTTCAAACCTGTGAATCCTTCATGATGCTTGTGACGTCAGGCTGGATTCTGTTTGCAATGCCAAAGTCAATCAGCTTCAGGGATGCATTCACTATGACGAAATTCGCTGGTTTCAAGTCACTGTGGACAATTCCTGTACATGGGTATGTGTGTGAGAATAAGAATCCTACTGTGTCATATAATACATAACAAAATCTGTGAGCTGCAATTAAAAACAATAACCATGTTTGTGGATGGTGTGGACAGCCTCCAACATGTTCCTCCAGTAAAACTTCCGGTCCAGGGGATTCACAGTCTTTCGGTTTCGCAGCCAAGTGTTTAGATCCAAATTGCCGCACTCCATCAGCATGTAGATATAACTGTTGGTCATTTCACTGCAAACACACACATAACAGCTGATCTTGACAAGATAAAACATTTTATGGTGAAAAGAACTGGCTGTAAGAGCACCATGGTCTTCATAGTAAAAGTCTGTTGATTATTTTGATTATTAGTTTTTTTATGCACTTACTAGTCATAGAGCTTTATAATTTGATCACTGTACTGCTGTAAGTGGTTCAAATGTTGAATCTCATTTTTATAACTTTCGATAGTCTGAGCGTCAGCTTCCTCAAGGTCAACGTACTTCACAGCAAACAGCTGCTTTTTGTGGTCAAGGACCTGATAGACCTGAAGAACCGGGGGGGGATATTCAGGAAATTAAAAATATGTCAATCAGCCAAGGGCAAATTGTTATTGCTACCATAGCAAGATGTTTTGTGATGTGTTTCTCCTCCACACGTCACACAAAGTTACCTTGCTTGATCCACCACGACCAATCATCTTCAGGATGAAGAACTGTTTGCCCTTAATGGTGATGGTTTCGTTGGACAATGCAGGGAAGGAGCGCTAAAATAAGAACAAAACAAAAAGACAACATTTTACTAAAACCCATTTAAGCCTAATCCCTAGAAATAAATATTTTTGAAATATTAGGAGCAGAAACCTGTGGAGTTTCAAAACAAGCTGCTGGGTTTTGAGGTGTGCACTGAGGCTGAGCTGGTGTTGCTCTGTTTGGTGCTGCTGTAGAGGAAAAGACCTCTGGGAGTTTCTTTACAACAGGAGTAATAAAACTAAAGAAAACAACATTATTAATTAAAAAAAAAGAAAAAAAGTTTATTAAAACTTACATTCAAATTAGGTCCAAATAAAATATAAAAGACCATTGAGCACTGAAGTCAAAAAACATTACCTGCTGGATGAAGGGTTTTTGTAGTTGTTAGGTGTTTGACAGACTGTCTGTGGGTTCAGCCTGGGTGGAAGCTGAACAGATGGAGTAGGAAACGACTCCGGCACAGAGGAAACAGGTGTGGGTTCAGGTGGAGTAGCATTTCTATTCTATCAGCAGAATGGGATGTGATTTTGTAATTAGAGAAGGTAAATAAAGTCATCAATATCAACATCATGTAGCATGTAGGAATAAAAGAAAATACAGTTAATCTAACCAGGAGAAAATCAGAGTTTAGCAACATAAATACTGTAAGTGACAGAAAAGTGCACAAACCTCTGGAGTAACATGCCGGTTGACAAGGTTTGGAACTTTCCATTCTGACAAGGATTCTTTGCCTGTAGGGTCTGCTCGTTCTGCAGAACGACTCACTGGGACTCGAGCAGGAAGCAGAGGTTCTTGGATTCCACCACGGGTAGAAAAACTAGCAGCAGGAAATGGCTGTGACTCTTTACACCAAAAAGAGAGATAATATGAATTATTGGGTTAAAATAAGTCAATATGAAAGCTTTTCTTTTAATTAATGGAAATAATGTTTAGCATCTACTGTACCTATTTGGGCCTCCTCCTTGTTGGGCACCAGCTGTTTCTCTCCAGCCTTGAGGTTACGAATGGCCATGTCCAAAAGCTGGGTGGGGCTGGCATTAAGGGTGAGGGCTTTTTGCAGAATAGAGCTTGCTTTGACCACATTACCTTAGGCAAAGTAGAAAGAAAGTTGAGTACTTCACTGACTTAGTTTGAGGCACAGCTGGCAAAGTTACATTTGTACCTTGAGAAACTTCGAACTGAGCATGTGCAATATGAACGAATGCAAAGGTTTTGCAGTTTGATCGTGCCACGATGAAATGGTCGCGTGCTTCGTCTGCATCTTCAATCCTGTGGAAGAACCATGTTACATCATGAGCAGACCAACGGCTGTCTGTCAGTAAACTTGTAGGATGAAGGTAAATTCTTTTATCCACCTACCCCTTAAGTTCTGCATATCTGACCAGTATTTTACCATAGCACACATTTTTGCTGTGCTGTCTAATTGGCATCTGGGAGAAGACTTTAGAGTAGCAGTCCTTCAGTTTGTTGAGGAGACCAACATCAGTGTGCAAGTTGCCTCTTTTCTCCAGATCCTTGAGATATGACCAACAAGATTCAGGGGAATTTGTTTTCACAACCTCAGAAAAACTGTAGGTTACATCTGTTGAAGCAGAAATGGATGTTTAAATGATTGTCCAAAGATCCAATGCAACTTGAAAATATTTTCAAAAGGGTCTCAAGAAACAGCAGAGCATTCAGTGAGTAGTAGTAGTAGTTTTTGAACTACCTTCTGCTCGCAGGGTGTCCTGTGTGTCATGTGAGTGAAGTAAAGTGGTGGTGGAGTCCACAGCTGCCTGCTCCTCCCAAGAGCAATGGTCAGGACTGATGCCTGAAAGCTGAGAACACAGCAAGAAGAACATGTCAAACCCTTTCATGGTTGAATTGGAAATTAGCATTAATGCAAATTAGTTTTGGCAGAATTGATACTCACTTCACGGTTGACAAAATCTACATCGTATGTATGTTTTTTCATAATTGAAGGTCCGTTCAGTGCATTTGCATTTGAGCGTAGTGTTCTAAGACAAAATACAGAAAAAAAAAAACATAGTTAAGCTTTTATTAGTACTAGTATGTAAATACATTTTTACAAGCTAACTTTTCTTTCAATCATATCTGTGCAATAATGTGAAAACTGAGTAAAATAATTATTCAATTAAATTGATTTAAGGCAGAGGTTTAATAGCTTCAGGATGCATCAGTTTCCCTAACATCATTAAAATTATTCCCTTAAAGAACAAGAACAGGTCATAAACCGATTGGCAGCATTTCGCAAACAACTAACAAAAATGTTAGTTTGTTTCGAACAATTAAGCTTGATCATTTTTTAAAACTTAATTTAGAAAAGATACCTGGCAGAAACAGAGGCAACACTCCTTGCTCTAGGTTTCTCATGTTTGTGGTCAACAACATCATCATCATCATTTTCTGGGATAGAGAACGGAACTACAGGAACTCTCATTGGCTGTAAGCAAAAAGAGAAAGACAAATTGTTATTGGTCTACTTTATGTATGCAAACAAAACTTGTTTGGTTTATTCAACTGCTGGATAAGAATAGTTACCATGCAAACAGTTTTCTTGTGTTGAGATGCTGATCTCCAGCCCGACAAGTATTCTTCAGCCAATCCACCAGGGGGCTCACTCCTAATGTGCAAAAACAAAATAAATTGAGGATATATATAGAAAATGTGAAAATACTGCAAGTTCATAAAATCAGTGTTATTTTAAATTAAACACTGGGGTGATTTTACTCTTACCCTGGTCCAAAAATACTTGAGAGTTGCAAGTCTCCTGTTCCATCTGAATTTCTGCTTACTTTTAGAAATTCAGATTTTTTGACAGAATTATGAACAGTGCTTCTGTGTAATACTGTAAGAAAAAACAAACCCAGGGTAAAAAAACAAGTAAAACATCAAGACAATATATGTTAATAATAACATAATATTGTCACAGTAAATTTTGGTTAAGCTAAAGCCAGTAGATCATGAGATAGTCATAATAAATAGTGAACAAATACTCACGTGATACATTTTCCTTATCCTCAGCACTCAGGCGAGACTTTTTCTCAAGCTGCATGCCTTGCAATGCAGCCTCCAGCAGTTCCTTTGGTTTGGCACCAAGTTCAATAGCGTTCTGTAAGATGTAAATGCTTCTCTTTGTGTTGCCTAAGAGGAAAAACATGCTGTCACAAGAACATAATCCATATCAAGAATATGTATATTAAAAAAAGAAAAACTTGTTTACCTTGAGAATGCTCAAAGTTTGCATGAGCAATATGGACAAATGCAAAGTCTGGGCAGTTAGACCTTGCAACGCTAAAATTGGACTCTGCATCATTTACATCTTGAATCCTAATTTTATTGTAAAAAGAAATGTTTTGTTCATTGGCAAAAATAGTGACTGCAGGCAAGAAAATACTTGTCTACAAGTTTACAAAAAATGGCATGACTTACGCTTTTAGTTCTGCAAATCTGACCAAGAGTTTGGCATAGCTCTCATTTTGACTGTATTTTCCCAGTGGCAGTGTAGAGAATACTCTGGTGTAAAAGTCAACAAGTTTAGTGAGATGGCTGTGATTCAGCCGAGGGTCACCCTTTTTCTCCAGGTCCATCAAATATGAGAGACAGGATTCCGGCGAGTTTGAGCTGATGACCTGGTTGATATTGTCAGTGTCATCTGTGCAAGTGCAAAGATTTTAAATGTTTAGAGTTTAGTCACAGTCATGAATAATTAATGATAAAATAATCGTCACCAATGCTGTGAATGTGATTACCTTCATTAAAATACTGATTAATCCTATGTATCCTTTTACACAGCATAGCGAGCTTCTGCTTTCTGTCTGTATGCTCCTCTTCCTCCATCTGAAAGTAAAGAGCAAGACAATGCATAATACATACAAAATATATGGATGAAGAATATACATCAGCAACACATCAGGTCACGTCAGGTTTTGTGCAAATAATGGCAGCCTTTGTATTTTGATGATTGAATAAAATTGTTGTATATTAGTAGAATAAATTAATGCGCAGGTTTACATATGATTAGAACAGCGGCATGATTACATAACACCTTAGCATTGGTTCTATTTTACCTTTACTTCATGCATTTCTTTTTGTTTACAGTAAGCTAGCTAAAGTAAGCTAGTTCCCCGAGACGTAGCGCTATCTCACAGTAAAAAAAAATCTTCCGCTGAGAAACCAATAAACACAAGTAATGCGGTCCATCTATGAATCGTTACAGATACAAACACAGTGACTTGAAAGTGAAAAATAAACCTCACCGTTTATGTTGTCATTTACCGGACGCAGAAATGTTGAAGCTTAACTGCCAGTTTTCAAAATTGCCCCTTCCGCCGAAGTCTGTTATGATTGGATAATTTTATGCTGACGACATGGTGCGTTCAGAAAGCATTTAAATATAATGAATCTAATACAATTTGTTCATATCACTTCAGAAAATACCTGGTTTGTTATTATAATAACATGCATGTAACACTCGTGAATATTTTCTACGCACGATTTCGATTTAAATGTTTTGGTTGCTGTGTGTTTGCAGTTCATTTAATTCACTCGAAGAACTCAGGGCAGACTAAAAAAGACGACCGTATACATTTGTAAAAATGTTTTCAAATGCGCGGCAAACATGTGTCTGTCTTTGAATAATATTTCAGTGGTTTTAATCATGTTTCCACTCGTGTAACGATTTATAATAATTCTCGATTTTTAATTGAAAAAAGAAATTGTATGATTCCGTATTGCATTTGAAGGCGCCTCGACGACTGAGCGCCAAAGGAGGAGCAAGCTTTACTTCCGTGTTCCGGCTCCTCCCATCCAAGCACCAAGATGGCAGCCACGGGGAAGAGATGAGCAACTACACGAATTTGCGGGTTCTGTCATGACACCACATACGGGTGTGTAGCTGTAGTACTGTTAATTTTGTAGACGATGCAATCACATTGATCGTCGCTTATGCGTCGATCCACGGAGACAATCGCTAAGTTCAGAGTCATCATGTTTTCCTTGGGGCTATGCTAGCAAGCGAAGGTTAGCAAATAAATGAACTCGTTTATCCTGCCACGGGAGAAGAAAGAAGCTGCTCGGCGTTTACACTATAATCAACTCCTGTAATGTGAGTAACGCTTTGAGGTCACGTCAAAGCAAAGACGTGTTGAAGAGAAATGTTAAAAAAACGATGATTTTAAGTCTATTAAACTATTGTTGCATTTATTAGATCTGTAAGTAAACTTAGGTCTTTTGGGTCCACAGGAAGGTTTACAAACGTAAACCTGTCGTTAAAGATGATTATTCTTCTGTTGTATGTGTTCGACCCAACAGATGATGAAACTCCATAGTGGGTCTCAGAAATACAGCACCGTTAGCACCGTTTACAAGTAACATCCGAAAGCATAAGGGCTGGAGGGTTGCTTTTCACTCTGTGTTATCTCAATAGACATTTTTCTGAACGACTCATGTTCTACTATCTGGTTTGGCTCCTCTTCACTGGAATATGATGTAATTTGATGAGATGTTATCCTTTTCGTATTTAGTAGTAACTGTACTTTTCTTTGACCAGTAATCCTAAATGAAGTTGCTGACATGTGTCAGAGAATAAGAAAGAGTGCTTATTTCTCCTCTCTATTCTCACCAGCTTCATTATGGCCATCACTCAGTTTCGTCTCTTCAAGATCTGCACTTGTTTGGCCAGCCTTCTGACCTTTGTTAAAAGGTTAATATGCAGGTGAGGACAACCTACTGATCTATGCTGATGTTTACATTTTTTTCTTAAGAAAATGATTGTCAATCGCAACATACTGTATTTAACATCAAGCAGATTTTTCACCAAGCCCTTATGCTTTTTAACTGATAGGGAAAGCTTTAACAGTTTTTGATGTTGAGTGTTTGATGTTTTGTTTCATTTTAAAATACTACAGGAGTGGAAGGGGCCGCAAACTCAGCGGTGATCAAATAACTCTACCAACAACAGTGGATTTTTCATCATCGGTACCAAAGCAGGTCAGCAACAAGATGTAACTCTCCACCATAAACAAGTTTGGATCTAACATTTAATATTTAAAAAGCTATAGAAAGTCAGCCAAAAAGTCACTTTTTGATGTGCAAAGTCTATAAATATACATATTTCTTACACCAAGATGTATCCTTGCATTTTTATTCTGAAAAAATAAAATCTAAATTCTATGTTTGTTTTGTACAGCCAGAGATTGAAGAATGGAGTTCCTGGGACGAAGATGCTCCTACAAGTATTAAGATTGAAGGTGGCAACGGGAATGTTTCAGCTTCACCCAATGATGAAAATGAAGAGCCTGACTACTTCAAGGACATGGCTCCTACTATCAGGAAAACACAAAAGGTATTCTATACATCAATGCGCATTATGCCCAGAGAGACTAATTAAATAAAACACAGGTCACTGTTAAGAAATTATCCGCATGCTGTTGTTCTTAGCAAGCTAGTTGCTACAATTATATTGAGTTTTGCATAGATTAATCATTTTTCAAGTATCAATCACGCAAAAGCAATTAAAAGAAAGCACAATTTTATTGGAATATGTATGATAAAAAAAACTGACTGTCTTGTCTGTTGCTCCCTGATCGCAGATAGTGCTGAAAAAGAGAGAGCCTCTAAACTACCTGGTGCCTGATGGCTCAGCAGGATTCTCCAGCAGACTGGCAGCCTCTCAGGATATGATGACATTCAGTGCACCCTCAGTGAGTCTCTCTTCTAGTATAGGATTTGCCTCATAGTTACTCCTGCTCTTCTTTTGGTTCCCTAAAAATACCAAGCAGTGTTTCTAGTGAATGAACAGTCATTTATAAAGAAACTTCATGCTAGTGCATGCAAATCTACATTTAAATTTTGGTTTAAAGAGCACATACTCACTAATACTGGAGTGTTATTGCTGATGAGATTGGGGGGTTAAATGTGTGGTTTAAATACTACTTTACCTTGTGCTATTTTTTTTTTTACAAGCCGGAGCTTGGAGAAATGGACAACTGGCAAGAGGATACAAATGCTTGGGAGGACGAGTCCAATGCTGCCTGGGAAGCTGAGGAGGTGCTCAGGTAACGAGTCAGTGGAGATAGAACTGTGTGTGCAGACAACAGCGGTGCACCACTCCTGTTTGTCCAGACAATGCAGTCGGTTAGGTTCATTATTTAAACAGATAAATTACTGCGGCAGACACTTGTGAAGGAAGAGTGATTAATTAACAAAACAGAATAAGTGTACTGGGTTTGATTCTCAGAGGAACCATATGCTTGATAATGTTAATCCTAATGTTGATCCTCATCTGTAAGTCGCTTTTGAAAAAAGTGTCTGCTAAATGCATAAATATAAATGTAAAAAACACAACAGAAATGATAAACTAAATAGTTTAATACTAACAACAAAGAATACGTAGGAAACTTTTTCCTTAACAATATATACATTTGTTTAAAACAGACTTTTATTATAGTAAATTATTAACCCTTTAAATTCAAATTCATGCTTTATCAATTTACAATGATATAGTTAGAGTATATTTAGTGGGGGGCCACCAGGTGGCAGCATTTACAAACTTGTACATCAAAAGTGAGACTTGTTTCCTCCTCCCCTTGATATTCTGTGTTTTGTTTTGTTTTCCATTTAACAGAGAACAGAAGATCGCAGAGAGAGAGAAGCGATCCATTGAGCAACAAAGGAAGAAGATGGAGAAGGAAGCGCAGAGAATGATAAAGAAGGAGCAAAAGATTGCTGTCAAGCTCTCTTAACATTTATTTAAAAAAAACAACTTTTGAGCTAAAGGGTGAAAAAGTGCAAAAGACTCTAAATCAACCATTAAATTATCTTTAAACTGTTCCAAACAGCTAAGCAGGATTATATCCACTGTTCTCATTAGTCTTCTCCTCCACCCAGGTCTCCACCAGCAGCCATTTCAGTCTGAGGGTATGATGCATTGTTCCTCAGTGGAATAGTAATTATACAACCTATTTCATTAAAGCTTAAGGATTAGATGCAGCATTAAAATTTAAAGGGTCACATAAAAGTTTTTCTTCATTGATTTGTTTCCCCCCAGGGGCATTTGTACATAAACTGGTACCTGTGTCTTTGTCTGAATTTTAATCCCTGAAATGACAAAGAGTCTTGTTAATTTTAAGCGTCACTGTACTTCAGTGATCTCCCGGGGTTTGTTTGATTCATGTGTTTTTATATTTACGTCCATCAATGGTCAAACTGTCTTTTACTGCTCGACGTTTGCTCTGATCTCTTCCTACTGTGCAGTCAGATACACATTGACAATTTGCATCTAACATGAAGAAAAGGTACAATTATGCAGAGACAAAATCCTTCCCATATGCTGTGGGTTCCTATGGTAATCTCATGGCTACTGTTTTTTCTATAGATTATCTTTTGACTGTTGGCTTTAATATGGAAACATCTGCTGATCACTGTGTTAAAAGGGAAAATTTGCTCTGGCATTCTGAAACATTTTCTAGCGCAGTAACCTTGACCAGTAAAAACATTTGTTTCTTTTTTCAATTGAAAGTGTAAGACCAACAGTTGGTGCCCACTGGAGAATTTGGCACCATTGCTGATTGAAAAGCTGTTGTCATGGCAACAACAGCAACTGGAGGAAGGATTGTAAATTATGTTTGTTCCAAGATAGTGTATCTGTGATCAATGACAGCAAGTGAGTGGAGTGGGATACACCATTGTGCTGAATGTTTCATTTAGAAAATCTTAGCCAGCAAGAACATTTCCTCAACTGAAATAATACTTAAATCAGTCAGTTTATTGATCCATTCTTTGGTGCCGATTCTGATTATTACGAAGCCATTAAATGGAATATCAGGTTTAAAGGTTACTGTCAGTAGATGTTTCTGACTTTGGACAGATTCTTGTTAGCTTGTTTTTAAAATTCTAATTAAAGCTGCATGTCATTCTCTTGTCTTTCTGCACACCTAATTATTCCTAAAATGAAGTCCTAAACCACATCTTATTGTTTTTCATTGTATGACTTTATGTTGTGGATGTGATCATGGCTGAACATTTACAATAAAACAATTGTTGAGTCTACAGATGGAACTTCATCAACTGGTGAATTTTATACCTGCTCAATTCCCTATACACTTTTTGAATAAAAGGCTTAATTCATACACATCTAAATAAATGTGGTTTGTTTAACCTGTGGCCTGTTTTTTCGTATTGACACAATACATTTACAGGCTGGTGTGGTGAAATACTTCAAGAGTCTTCAAAGGTCCAAAACCTAGTCTAAATTTATTACCCAAATACTTCCTGTCATTTTGTGAAAACAAAACCAAAGGAAAATCTGTAAAATACTTGTCTGACTCCTCTGGCTGATGTTCAGTCAGCATTTTTAGAATATTACCAAAATTAAGATGAAATTACATTTAAGAGTGTCAACCTTGACAGACCACGTTGTTGACCCTAAAGGTCATGAGTTCTTAGAGAACTACAGTATATGTGGCCTTTGGTCAACAGTGCTATAATAGTTCACTGTAATGATGTCACTTCTCTCAATCCCAGGATACTGTTTCCTGCCAAAACCTTTGTTGAGACTGACCCATTTTCAAAAAGGAAAATAAGTCTTTAGGGAAACCAAGAACCAAAACCAACTCAAGTTAGGCCTAAAAGCCTACATCATGTTCTATTTTAGAAGCCGACATGTCAACAAACTCAAATTTAAAGACCAGAATGGGATTACATCATCCAATTCATTTGACGTATGCCTTAAAATGAAGGATTATGCAACGAGATGTTGCTGTAAAGTACAAAAAGTCAAGTGGCAAAGATGTCAAGTTCAGTTAGGATTTAAAGGCTAACTGAACATTCATGTCCTGTGGTAGGGTGTTGTGTAATACTCTGAATGCAGTTTTCTACTGCTGTGGCAGTGACCCAGTTGGTACTGATGTCAGGGTGGAGGCAAGGGATTGACAAAGGTTTTACATAAGAATTAGGACATGACCTGGTGGTAAACTGTGACACAAACATTTTGATTATTAAAATGCAGTAAAACATTTGGAGTGTCAAATACCAAACCCTTATTCTGCCTCTTTTCTTTTTTTTTTTCTCCAAAATACACACACACCAGGAGTCCAAACATGTGGCCAGAATCATCATGCTTTAATTATACTGATACACACAATGACATTTGATGTAAACCACTAGTATTGCACATAGCTCAGGCACAGAACACGCATCACTTGCTTTAAAGTGTTGACTTATTTCTATGAACAATACACAGGAAGTACATCTAAAGCTTTGAACCAAGAGAGGAACAAAATGAACAGGAAAAAAAAAAAAAAAAAAAAAACTCTTCCCAAAAAAGTGAACTATTATTGATGCTTTGGCTGTTTTTCAAACAACTAAGAACTGAACCCATCAAACAAACCAACATTCACTCTTCCACCTTGCAAAAATTTTTTTTTTTTTTTCACCCTAACATGGAAAGATCCACAAACACCACAAGACGTTGATAACCATCTACCCAGATGATTAGCCAACACACATGATAGAAATTATTGTACAACCCCATTTATAAATAACCCCCTCCATGTCACCATTTTACCTCATCTCATGGTAACTACAGTGCAAACTAACAGTGTTGGAACAAAAATAACTGTATTAATATCATAAAGTGTCAAAGGAAAGTCACAAACACTAAAGAGACGCTCAAGTGCTTTTACTTTGAAGGGTAGGCGTGCGCATGCAGGTGGGAAGCCATTACGCATTTGGCCTGCGCGTGATGTGACGAAGAGAGTGCAATCCCATGATGCAGCAGCCCCTAATCAGAGCAGAAATATTGTACACTGGAGAGCTTCCGTCCACACCGTGTCGGGAGTAGAGCCACGCAACAGTGGGGAGCACGGGCGCCGCTACAGCCACCAGATCAACCAGGAAGCTGTTGCTCCAGTACTGTTTGCCAACCACATCCAGCCCTGGTGATAGGCAGAGCTCCTTGTTGTCAACACCAAAGTCCAGTTCCTCCATAAACCTTTTATTCTGTGCAGGATCAGAGGAGCACATGCCAGAGTCAGTGGTGTTTGGGATCTTGGGGTTAACAAGGCTGGATTCCGTAAGTGGAATTTTAGGGGAACCATAGAGATCAGCAGGGATAGTAGACAGATCTGATAGACCCAGAAGACCAGTGGAGTTTGATAGACCAAAACCTCCATCCACAGACCCATGAATCTTTAACAGATGGTAAAGCAGTGATTGCACATCTGGAGACATTGGCGCTGTGTCGGTCTGTACTTCTTTGTCTTCCATACTCTGCTGAGAGGGTGTGCTCATAGAGGCGGTGGTGGTGGTGGGAACTGTACTTGGCTGAGACAGTGTGGGTTTATCAATCGATGGATCTAGTCCTGACAGCGTAGACACACCGGGTCCACAGTCTGCTTCAGCTCTTAGCTTTTCAATCGAGTCCTGACTGAAGTCCACTGCTGTGGACATGAAGACCTGCTCCAAAATGTCTGCCCTGTTCGCCATCTCATCGTTTAACAGAAGCCCACTGTCTGCCATCGCCTCAGCAGCTTGATCTCCTAACCCCATCCCACCTTCCTCCTCCTCTCCTTCCACCTTCTTCCCACCACCATCTGGACTCTCACAAGTGAAATCCAAAGAATTCTCTTCCTGCAGGTTGGCACCACTCTGACAGAGCTCCATGCTATGCAGCAGGGACTCCAACTTCCTGTTTTGGATGTTGATATCAATGAAGTACTTCTGTATGCCCTTATCCTTCTCCATCAAGCTGCTTTTCATGGTCTCCACCACCTGACGTAGCTGTTTGATCTCTTTACGGGCCTCTTTGAGCGATAGCTGAGCCTCCACCCTGTGACACTCCTCTTCAATCCAGTCTTCCCTCATTCTGCCCAGCTGGGCCTTGAGCTCAGCAATCTCTGTCTCCCTAAGAAGAGCAGACATTCAACTCATGTCAAATAAATGTTAATAAATTAACTAAAGTTAGTTAAAAAACCTATTTCTTCTAACCATGGAACACGTGACCTACATATCAGAGTTGCTTGCAAATGCAGTCTAACTTTTACAAACACTAAAATAGATTTTATTTGTTCATTTTTAAGGTTATATAACATAATCCACTTACTTTTGAGACACCTCTGTGCACATCTACCTCAGTAACTGTGCAGGACCAGTATAATTTATTTTTTCAAAGACAATCACGTAGCGCTGCTTCTGTCATTGGTGCTCAACAGTGACCCCTCAGTTGCTGTCTTACTGTCACAGCTTTGCTACCGTTGCCTCGGAGACTATCGCCTTTGGCAGCTTCTTCCTCCTGAAGCCAGAGATATGAATAGGCTTTTGATATCGCCATTGCACTATTAACATCTCTGGCTTTTCCTCATATTTGGTAATTGAGCGTGTTCCTTGGCATATGGCCAGAACTGTTGAACACACTACTGTGTGGACAGTAACTGGGACTGATATGACATTTACACAAAGAAAATTTGATCAGATACAAACACACATGAAATGGATTTTCACAATTATTAAAATTATTATTCCTGTTGCTCAGCACTTGTAATAATATTTTGTTTGCAGAAACGGTGTCTTTTTGTAGATGCTGGGATTCATTTGCATAATAAACCAATTACTTTGTTTTGATTTTGTTTGTTTGAAAGTATCCAGTGACCTTTTTGTGTAAACTCCACCTTGTTTTTGTTGAATGTTAAGCATGGCCACCAGGACATCACACCTCAACACAGCTGGTAATACTGGGCATTAAAACCATTAAAAAAATATATCACAGCAGCACCTGTTGACATCTTCACTAACCTGTCATGAGCTCTGTTCTCAGACTCCAACAGTTGGGTCTTCAAGTGTCTGATGGTCACTTCCTTCTGCTGCAGAGGTGTCAGGTACTGCTCTGGGTTTGGAGGTCTGATGCCATGGTTGTCGCCACACGAGTGGTAGCAGCTCATTTTGGTTCTTCTGTTGAAAAGATGTCGATCAGACCTTGTCCACCACTACTACATTAATGTAGAACTCTATCATTGTGCAGTATTTCAAACAGGTTGTAATATTTCCACAAACTGACCGTGCTTTTATTTTAATTTTATTTATTTAATTATATAATTGATAGAGAAAAAAACTGCAAGGAAATGTGTTACTTGCAAGTAAGTACATGCATTAATATAGACAATTTCAAGATTCAATTCCAAGTCCACTCACCACTGAATACACATTTTAAATATATGTAATGTAACAATGAGGGGGAAAAAAAAAAAAAATCACAGGAACAAATTCTAAGATCACAGAACATCTTAAAATTTGATTATTTTATATTCACAAACAGAGATTAAGTATTTTTGTTTCCTCATTGCAGAATGCAAAATAGGAGGATTGTAGGATATGCAAAGCATCAGCTAAGCCTCTTTCTCTCTCTCCTGCAGTGTTACAGCATCCTAGCAACCTGGGATACTTGAGGCATCCATAAGTGCTGTGCCAGAAATAGAAACGGTGCAGGAGCAGGCAGAGAATGTAACAGGAGATGTCACATGACACGTGGGCCAGGCAATGTAAAGCTGACAGCAGGATGTTTCAGAGCATCAGGAGTGGATAGGTGTGTTTAGATCACAGGCCAGGCTCTCATAAACATTTGCTGCGTTACATTTTTTATATTTTCTTTACTGTAAAACCTTTAAATTAAAGTTAACATTAAAGTCCCTTATAGCACTTAAAAAGAAAAAAGAATCTTATTGTGATCCTAAACCGCTGCATCAGGATTTCACGGTGGTCCACACCACAAAGCTTTAGCCTCTGAAAAATTTATGACCCCCTCCTCTCCTGTTAACCCTAAGTGAATTGACTCCAGTCCACTTACGAGCTGGCCACAGCCAACCTGGTCTCTGAGTTGGAGCCATATTCAGACATTCAATGCTCCATTCAATCCTCATTAATCCTTGATACAGACAGATCATGGCCAAAATAATCCCAGCCATCTGTAGGGGAGGAAATTAAAATAAAAAGGCCTGTGCTTAATCCAGCCACCCACTCACTCAATCACTCCATCTGACATGAGCTGAGGGACACAGAGCACGGCTCTATCCATCGCTAATGTCCAAGATTTACCACAGGAAGCGAACGTCGGATTCGTTTTGAAGCCAAATGGAGAAACTTGAAGAGATCAGAGTCTGATACCTGGATGTAGGGCTGGAGAGGCAGCTGCTGCTGTTGGTGGTGGTGGTGGTGATGGAGGAGGCAGCTCTAGGAGGAGTCTTGTAGGAAGTGTAGAGTTCTGGATCATGGTTGACTGTGGAGTTCCCCGCTGGTTTAAACACTGGCAGGGCTCTGATATGGGGGCCACGACTTTTACAAAACACACACAAGCCAAACCAAAGCAATTATTCATGTTACATGTTAGTTTTTCAGACATTCTCCAAAAGCACAACTGAAGATTAAATTTAGTCAGTGTGTGCATGTCAAAGGTAGTATAAAGAAAGGTAGTTAGAAAGTAGTTAGAAAGGCTTGAATTTCTCACCTTCGTGCAGGCGCCTTCTTCACAGCTGAGACAGAAGAGAGTCTCTCTCTGGTCTTCGGGCTGCCTGTGCTGCTGGAGGAGCTGAAATCTATCTCACTACCTGCATGGAAGAGATCCATGATGACAGTTAACAGACTGAGCTTTATTTCAATGATACATGATAGATAAAACTTTTAATCAGATTTGGAATGCCTTGCTGATGCCTTCTCTCTCTCTCTCTCTCTCTCTCTCTCTCTCTCTACTTGATGCCAAAAATCTTGATCCAATTCTTCCACAGACTTTTTTTCCAATAAACTTTAGTGTAGTATTATTTGAAAAAGCTTTTCTCACAAATATGATTAAAAACTACATAGTCTCATTAATTTATTTCCAATTTGAATTTGAATGGAATTGATTTGAATTCACTTCTGAGCAGGAAGCAGGTTTTGCTTGTCCAGTGTTCTTTAAATTTTAATAAAATGTCAAAATACTTTCTTGTATGACATTAAAATTATACTACATCTCCACAATCTTCACACTGCAATTAGACAAAGGCAGTTCTGCATCTTTTTAACTGACTCACACACATTACACAAAAGTAATTTTAAGACATGGCCAAAATGTAGAAAATAAAGTTTGTTTGACACAGTTTGTTGACATAAATTAAATCATTCAGTCTCACCTGAGTAGCATCTCTTTCCATCAAACAAAACCATTGTAAAGTGCACAGTAACTCCTGTGACAACTGTGACAATAGAAACTGAGTGATCCTTCACCTCTGGGTGAAATCAACTGTGAACTAACACACACACTCAGTCAATGTGGAAATTTCTGCTAATCAGCCTAATTGCCAAAGGCCCCAGCACTTGTTCTCAACCAATCAGCTTCCTGCTTCACTCTCAGTCAAGACTGGGCAGGAAGGGAATGTTATTTGGTTTAAGAGTGGACTTTTCTAGATGAGTGACATGTACAGACCAAAATAAAAAAATGTATTGGGCTTCTTTTATTCAGGAAGCTAGTTTTCACCCACTTTTTATTCAGGTCAACATGGCTGTTAGTCTGATTACTGCTGCCAACTGACAAATAAAGCGTACTTTGGATTTGAACACTGCTGTCCAAAAACAACATTTATTAAAGGTGATAATACAGAGTCCATGGATATCCAAGCTGACATATCAATTCTGCTCTAACTTTCTCTTTTTTTTCTTTCTATTTTTGTATATTCCTACAGTTTTTGTTTACCTCTGGTTTTCACAGGTGGCCTCAGCTCCCTCTTGTGCCTTGTTGTGCTGCGTGTTTCACCTTTCCACTCTGCCATCACTCTGACCCGCTTCACTTTGTTCTTGCGCTCAGGGAGGGTGGGCTGTGGGCACCCGTGGGCACTCCGCTCTGAGCCTGATGGAGTTTTGGACGGGGACGCGGACTGACTAGTTGGGCAGCCGGTGTCATCTGTTGTGGACAGGTAACAGTCATCAGACACTATGTAAAGGCTGGGCAAAAACACAAGGTCATAGCTCGAGGTTGAACTGAGGTCCATGTCATATCAGATGACAGCTGACAGCTTTCTCAAAGAAGGTCAACTTTCAAACTTTGCTTCTTTATGTGAAAACAAACATCAAGTCTGTAACTGATGATGTTTGTTGTCATTCATTCGACCTTGTATTGGATTACATTATACCTGAGTAGAAACTGTTGGTACTGATGGTTCTTTTAGAATGGTCTGAGCTCAGGTCACACTCCTTCCCCTCTTCCTCTGAAAATGGCGAATCAGACAGAGGAGATCCTTTTTCCTTTAACCGGAAGGGGTGGAGGACCAATCTTGGGATACGACTGCGGGGGCTCCCTTTCTCTGATGACTTCTTTACCTGGTTAGTAAAGAAAACTGTGAAGCATGTTTTCAGCCCTTAGCTGTAATTTATACTGCAGCTTTAGGAACCACAGTTTACCACCTTAACATTACAATAAATCTTAAATTTATCAAAAATAATGAGAAACAGTGATCAGACTTACAGCAAACTCTTGGAATGGTCCCATTGTGCTTCACGTGGTGTGTTTTATTTTAAATTCCTAATAAATAGGAAGAAGGAAAAACAATCAAGTTTGTCTTTTTTCCTGAGGACTGTGTATATGGCTAATATTTTGGTGTGGCTCTCACGCTCAGCTCAATAAAATCAAAAAGATCACATTTACCTCTGTGTTCATTTGTTCATCCATTATTAGGCTCAGTCAATCTGAGCAGTGGATGGATGGATGATGGATGGATGGATGGATGGATGAATGGCAGCATGTAATTTGATAATAATCTGATTTACTTACATACGGTATATAGATGTGTAGGATTTAGCAGCCTCTAGTGGTAAATTTGATCAAAAAGTCTTACTTCACAATTTCTATCCATGAATAAAACAAAATAAATGTCATTCTTTAGTTGTTATTAATAACAAAAATTGTGTTGGTCTCCTTGGGCTAATGGGAAAACAATTTATGGCTCTATCAGTCTACATGCCGATGTGTCCCTGGACAAGAAACGTAGACCAAGTTTCTCCTCGCAACTGTGACTATAAAAGAGAATGAAAATATGTGATAGAAGATGTGCCAAAAAGTAACGGTAAGGATGTGAATGTGGAACAAACTGTAGAGTAAAGTACTCTGAGTGGTCATTAAGTGTATAAAAATGCTTCACTGTAAGTACAGACATTTTACTGTTAGGCTGTTGGTTATAGCCTTTTGTAATTAAAGTGGTTTTAGTTTCACAGCTATGGTAAAAATGTGTCCGTCTGCTTCTACTAATCATTGTAATTAAAGAGTTTAACCATCTGCCACAAGCTACAAAGTCACTCTGTTCGGTGGATGTGACCAACATTATATAATTTTAACACATCATTGTAAGCATACTGGAAATAAACATATTTTATTCATGTTTTCATTCTAAATAATTTACACTACCCATCATGGATGAATTAAAGTTACACAATCACTTCACTTGCTTTCTTGTCTCTGAATGGGGTCAATCTCTTTCCTTTTCACCAGGAATGACGTAATTGACCCCAATGTCTCTGCACTGCTTTCACATCAATGAGTCTGAGCCTGACTGTTCAGTAGATTTTTCCAGATGGTTCAGTTTTAATGAATCAGATTTTTTTTTTTGCCTTTTATCAGTTCCATTTGTCCATTACCACAAACAAAGATGTCCTACATAATACCATAGTTAACTGTGTATACAGTAAACTATGGTATTATATACTGTATACTGTGTAGGACTGGTGTTAATAGCTCTTCCCTCATTAAACCTCACTCTGTCCATCCAATAGAAGAATACATGTTGGTCTTTCTTACTTTATTTTACCTACTCTACTGTCAGACCTTATTATAAGAAGATTTCAGGCAAATAGCCTTCCACGGAACCACCAAGGATAAAAGCAGCAGAGATATTGCAGAATTAGAACAGTCCTGGGAATTAAAAATCCATCTCCTATTACCAGCCTCATAATTATCTGATCTAGATGTTCCACCTCATCCCTTCATTATAGGTTCACTTCTCTCTCTCTAGCTTTTACTTTGCCATTTTAGCACATTAGCTAGAGCGTCACAAGGGAGCTGCCCGATGCAGCAACACAGGCAGATCAGATTATAGACACCAAGACTGTTGCTGTGCCCTCACAAGCCTTGATGGAAAATTAGAAATCCTGGATTTAGAACTGCACAGAAAATGCCAATGAGATGAGAACAAGTCATATGCAAATCTGTGCAGTGCAGCTCCTGCTGACTGGCCTTAGATTCTGTCAAATATCCACAGTGTACCGAGCAGGATGGTGTGTGGGTGTATAGCGGCAGAGTGTGTTTTTCAGACTGAATGAACATCCTGTCCCAGTGAATGTGTGGCCTTCAGGTACAAAAACAAGCACATCACATTTCAGCTGCCTCAGTTGGTTCAAACAGGATTCTGGTAACTGTGGTGTTTATACTGGAACAAATATGTTACATCGTACATTTTTAATAGAGGGATAGATTCGATGGGATAGATAGATAGATAGATAGATAGATAGTCCATAGACATCTGTCCATCTATTAAAAATGTACAATGTAAATGTAAATGCCTCAGTTTGATTTCCTTTTGTTTTTGCTAAGCATGTGATAAGCATTCTTGACTCCAAATGATTTCTGTCCCCTGCAAATCAATGGTTCCCTAATACTAAAGCAGACAAGATGAATCCTGAACAATCAAAAAACTAAAAACAAAGTAAATTGCACAGTCTTCTTGTCAATGTTATTCAAAAAGGACAGTACAATGACATTGACTCTGAGTTATTTAAAGGAGACCACTGACCCTGAAACAAACTGCATCATCATTGAATGATGTCATCATTGCTAATCCTTTTCAATGCCAGGAACAATCCTATGAAACATCATATATATGGAATTTATGTGTATATATACATATTGGCTTTAACTCCAGCTTCCAACACGTCCTTGTCCAGTATTATTTCCAGTAATATACTTCTGGTCACCAGATATTATTCTTACTTCATACTATTGCAAACTGCTTTTTGTCTGTGTTTGATGTTGCCTGCGAACATGATGGACCACAAATGCCTTTTAGAAACTAAAAGTAATTTAATGTCATTAAAAAAGACAACAATAACAAACCCAGCTCCTACTTGAAGTCATTGAACCATATTATAAAACCCAAAGAACTACAGGTTTTTATGAATATGAATGAAAAAATATAACGTTTAATGTTTTTATCTCTAAATTTACTGATGGAATCAAATGAAATACCTTACCACGTGACTTCATGTTTATGACCCTTTTGTAGCTTATGCACAAGCTCCCATTAGGAAGTCGTATTTTTTTGTCTATCCACCCAACAGCTGAATATTGTTTTTGTTTCTGGCGCCCCCACCAGTATTCCAAATATGTTTTACCACTTATAGCATAAGGATGACTCCAGAACAAAAGACGAGAAAAAACAAAACAAAAACATATGGTCAGATTACACACAATAACTCACGGCACATTTATAACTTCTAAAATTCGGGCGACACATTCAAATAAAGATTCAATATCAGCTGTTTTTCTAAACTTGTAAACAGGTCCGCGTTTTCCACCTGCTCGCAGTTTATTATTTTATTCATAAACCAAAATGTTCGCCTATTTTTTAAACAAACAAACAAATAGTCTGTGGAGCTGTTACCTGAGTATATGTGACGTATATTCCTGTCAAACTGATGCGTATCTACTGGTGAAGTACAAAGGGTCGTTCGTCCTCGTCTGCTGCTGATGCTCCGCAGGTTCCAGCCTCCTCTCTGCTCCTCTGCTGCTTTGCTCTGTTGTTGTTGGATGGAGCTGTGAGAGTAGGGCTGGCTGAGGACACACACACACACACACACACACACACATACACACTTGGATACAAAGCGAGGCAACTAAGAGCGCATGCACCAACGCACAGTATGACGACCATCAAGTTACATAACGTGAGGCATTACTTAATCACAGACCCCCCACTGTCGGCCACCGTCACGATCTGGAAGCACGCAGACATGGATGCAGCCTTTTTAGAGCGTGACACATTTGTATGTCATTTGTTGCATGGTCATGGTGGCATGATGATGGGAGACGAACATGACGTGCAAAAAGACGCAGTGTGCGCAGAAAAGCTGCATCAGCAGAGACAAACAATCAAAGAAACATTTTCAGTCTCTCTCCATGGTGCTGAAATCAGGCACGATTGCTCAATCTTAAATGTTTTGCGCATTAACGAATATTTTAGTACGTATTGGAATTCCAACGAATATATTCGTGAACCAACATTTTGAATGTTACTGCTCTGTTTGTAAACAAGAGAAGACGTTCATGAAAAGGCATCACGGTTCAACAATGGTGTCTGCCTGTGTCCGTCCTTTGTCAGTTGCGTTGTGATGAAACACTGGCCACTGGATGGTACTGGGCAATATCTCCGGCATGTGACCCATCACAAGTAGCTGTGGTGTATCTTTGGACGCCATCTGCTGGAAGAATAGTGTACTACAGCAATATTGTTTGCTAGGACAGAGTACAAAATATTCGTGAAAAAAAATTGAAGTGCTTTGATACATGTGCTTTAATTTCGAGTTTAATTTAAAACATTTTAATTGTTTCACATGATTTTCAGACAGAAACTCATACCATAATATAATAATATATATAGTATCAGAAAATTGGTTTGAGCTGGGGCACCAAAAAGAGGAGGAAAAGGAGAGGGATTAGGACCCTTCTCCTTTTTCTCCTCTTTTCCTCCTCTTTTCTAGGGGCCCATGATAAAGAGGGTCCCAGAGATGGCTCCGAAATAAATTTACAAGTATGTTCGTGTTTGGAGCCTAGTAAAAATTCTTCTAATTGGACCCAAAATTCCTTGTGGTGCCCCTGTGTGTGAGCAGTGCTATGGGAAAACATGATATAAAAAAACCCGAAAGGCCAAAAGTTGGAAATTAGTAAAATAACTATTGATTAAGAGTGGAATTGCTTTTTAATCATTATTACATAAATATATTTTCACGTTGTACCTTAATATGGCAATCGCTAGAGGTCACTGCAGTGTCATCTATAAAATGCTACGCGCAATTGGCCAAGTGTTTGCTGTGTTCACACTCTAAAGGTTTCATTTCGACCTAAGACCTGTGCCCTTGGCTCTTCGAGTCATATATTTCCTTTTCTTTTTTAACGAGTCTGGTTCTTCTTCACAGAAAACCAGATGAACACATCAACTGTACAAAATGTCAATACAGCCGAGACTGAATTTTCATCCACGGGTTATGTTTACTATTAAAAACCCATTATAAATCAGTACCACGGTAAATTCCTGCTTTAATGTTCCTCCAAAAGATGACGTCAGAAATATATGATGACATCGTTAGTGCAGTTTATCTTCTAAATCTAATCTAAATGGAGGCGTCCTTGAGGTCCAGGCTGTCAAACACTGTGATAAGGATCTTTACACATCTGTGCCGTGGATGTGCACCGACTTTGGTCAACATCATAAAAGTATCAATGGGGGAATGGCCTTTTTGTTGCTTAGACACCATGTGCACTTCTTCCAAATCAGAAAAAAATGCATTTCTTTACTTTTATTTCATTTTACGATCTTAATTAAATCATGAAGAATTGTCATGAGTTACTAAAAGCAGAGTCTAAACCAGCGACAACTTCTCCAGTTTGTTCTCTCTGGTCTTTATCCTGGCCCTCTGGCACTGGTGCGCGTCTGTTTGCCGGTCTGTGACATGAATTGTTTGGGGTGCCGCGCACTCAGAGACCATGTGGGCGTGTTTCTCTCAGCCCAACACTCTACGCTCTTGTTTGGAGTCCAGAGCGCAAAACGGGCTTCTTCTGGTGAGACCATAGAGCGCAAAAGTATCAGCTCTCCAACCCTGACGCGCAACACCGTCTCTGGCTCCGGCGGCTCCCCCGAATCACACTCGTACCGAGCACGGGGGATATAAAGAGAGAGTTTACCCAAACTTCCCCTAGTTCATCATTCAGCCATGGACGCGTCTAGAGTGGTAACGCTATATCTGGGCCTGCTTCTTGTTTTTCTTTGGAATATACCGTGTTTCCAGTCTGCTGCTATTATCTCTCCCTCTGCGCCGAGGAGGAGCAGAGGAGCGAGGATCCCTCATCCACACGGACAAAGGTCACCCAAATTCTTAAAAGACGTCTTCGCGTCTGGACACCCGGTCACGGGTCACCACAAAGACGACTCCAAGGACGCTATTGTGCCGCACGAATACATGCTCTCCATATACAGGACTTACTCGGCTGCAGAGAAGCTCGGACTAAACGCAAGTTTTTTCCGCTCCTCTAAATCTGCCAACACCATAACGAGTTTCGTGGACAGGGGAACAGGTTGGTTTCTGTCTACTGCTTCATCTCCATCACTACAGACACGTATTTTCCTATATGCGAGGATTGGTTTAATATTTTTCTATTTCATTTAGTTTAAAATGCATTACATTAACCAGCAATGCGCAAAACTGCATCGGATCATTACGGTGCCAGCAGCTACTTTTACGCGCGTGGAAACATACTTTTGTATGTAAAAAAATAAAATAAAATAAAAATTAATGAATTAACAAAGGTAGTAAAGGCATGATTTGGTGATGCTGCAGAATTAGATGTTATAGAATCAGTTTTCCGCACCGTCACTGAATACATGTGATTCCTCCCCGAATAAATTATATTACAGTTAGATTAACCTCTGGGGAACACGACAGTAAAACACTAATTGGGGCTCTTTCTAAATGAAGGCTGTAAATCACTGTCAGCGACTGCAGGCTGCAGCAAACAGTTCTGCTCCAAAACTCGTGAACACGTGAATGGAGAGGAACGTTTTTTTTCAGTGAAAATAATTAAAAACACTTGCAGGTTGTTTCATTTTCGATTTCCGTCGACCCCTAACTTCCAACTCTTGTCTGCGTTTGATGACATAAAATAAGTCAAAACCAAAGGCAGACACTAACGTTCTGATTATGGATGGATTTGCCAACCCAGTGTCCAGTGAGACCAGCCGGGTGCTGACAAAGAGAGCTGCAGAGGCCCACTGCAGGGCCAGAGCTGGTCACTGAGAGAAGCAGGTGTTTGGGTTGGTTCACGTGTGTAACCAAGGGATGTGGACGACCTGCAAAGACAAACACAGTCTGATAAACACAAACACGTCCTGCACACACAGAGAGACACAAACCTAGTTAATCTTTGTTGGAGAAATAAAAACTAGCCTTTGTTTGCGTCTTCAAACGCCACACTTCCCAAACGCTACAACGTGGAGTCCGCGCTGCAAAAAAAAAAACAAAAACAAAAAAAAAAAAACAAAAATGTGAACTATTTTTTGTCCGTAGTCAACTGGTTAATTATTGAGCTCTGTAAGAGGAGGATCTTATTATTTCAAACGTTGGTTTTGGCCTAACGCTCAAATGCAGTTTATGCAATTATTGCTTTTTAAATAAATGAAAAGGTTCCCTCTAGAAATCACAAACAAAATGTGTATATGTTTTTGTCAGCTTTAATAATTTTCTAAGAAAAGATCACTTGGACTTGTTGTTGTTGGGATTTTAATATGATGTGTCACTGCTTTTAAGTGCAAACAGAGCTCTATGCCAACTGTTTTAGATCAAAAGACGAAGTGGAGATATTGAGTGTAATATTTAGTATGTCATTGAAAATAGAATCGAAATAAGAAATAATCTTTATTTTTTATAAAACTTGTATTTCATTTATGCATTTGTATTTTATGCAGTCTTTTTTAACTGCGATTCCTGTGGCGTTTCCTCTCAGCAGCCTCTCTCAGAGCTGCCCTGCTAAACCAGTGCTCAGGAAGCAGTGTTCACAAATTAAGGCTGCTCCTTCTGGAGAGAAACGCACACCCGGGCCAACCCTTGATGCGTAAAGTGGCTGCTTTTCCACACTTTTACGCACCAATCTTGCGCGCAGAGACAGGTTGTGGTTGTGATCATTGGGCTTTCAGCATTTGTAGCTAAATGAAATCTGTTTTCAAATTAAGGCGGAGTGTTTCCTGAAGGTCAGAGAGAGAGAGAGAGAGAGAGAAAGAGAGGCAAGATCAGAAAAGAATAACCCCGATTTGGAAATTACTTTTGGCACTTGGGTTAACTCATTAAAGCGCAGATGGTGCAGCCTCCCTCTCTGCCTCCCTCTCTCCCCCTCTCTCCCTTTCTCCTTCCATAGAGGTGTAGATGACAAAAACATGTTTTGCCTTTTTTCCAACACTGCAGGTCAGACTGGCGCACTCAGGATGCTTCTTAAAAATCAACCGCAGCCTCCTCTATACTGTATAGTCCACCCCTTCAGGGCGTAATGGAAAAAAGTGGCTTTTGTTACACAATAATAATAATAACGAAATTAATGAAAACGTTGCACATTTTCAGCTGTCAACACGAATCCTATCTCTCAATAACATCCACACTGTGTTTGGTCGCTGCTGGCGCACATGAAGGCGAATGTTGTCGTTGGCAGGGCGAGATGAAATATAAGAGGGGAAGTGCTTTAATGAGGAAGATGGGAATAGAGAGCTGTTAATTATTTGGTGAACATGTATTTGATTTGTTTAAGGTCTTATAAAGAAGAAAAAGCCTGACCTAATGTGGACCATACGGCGGAATGTTACAGCAACGAGCACAAGGTTTCAATCAGGTTTTTACTGTTGGACTCAGTCAACAGAGCGCAGAGCAAAAACCTACAGAGACAATGAAAATGTTTCGCTGTAAGACAACTTCATACACGTCTGCGTGCGGCGTGCGGATGAGTTATTTCAATTAAAAGACACTAAAAAATCCCTTTAATGAGCGTTTTTATTTCAAAATTCTAGAAATGTAAAAATAACTAAATACAATCGCGTCGTGGTTTATTTTTAATTTTAAACTAATATAACTTTTAAACGTAAATGATTTTACGCTTTCCTTGTGGAATTCTGCAACTCGACGCACAAATAAAGTGAAAGTTAAATAACAGAAAAATAAATTATTTCAAATTATCTTCAATCTCGAGAAAATAATAATTAACTGTTTTGATAGAAACTAATAACAAGTGTGATCATTTAAGCCTTGTAGCTGCTGTCTTTTTAAGCCATTGTTATTTATTTAGCATCATTTTTTCACGATTGTTTAGAATGGAAGAAATATATTAACTACATTTTCCTACTGCGTTATTATTTCTTGTCAAGTCTCTATTAAAGGACCTTATTTTTTGACATTTGCTCCTCCATACTAGGGAAAAGTAGGAAACAATCTGTCAGCACGTTATATGAAAACCGACCCGTTTTCATTTAGAACAAATACACCGGAGTTGATTGAGAGTGGCGTGGAATTACAATATCAGCAGATTTCATTGGATTATTGTTTCTGCAGTGACATAAATAATAATATTTGATTTGTTTAATCCTGATTTTGGAGATTTCACCCTCCCTGGCTGTTTCCGTTACTTCTTTAATACGATTTTCAATGAGGGGCAGCAATAACGTAAAGGGAAGGAAAATTGGGAAAACGAGGAAAAACAAATTTTAAGGAAGGAACTCTGGGAGCGGGGTTTTGTAAAGTGAGCCTTTAATGAACCCCATAGCGAATAAAATATTTTATTTCCAGGGAAAATTGTAAACAAATCGGAGTGAAACGGGAGGGCGAAAAGTCACCGAGAGTTCAGAAAGTGGATTAACCAGTGAAATGTTATTCCAGCAGTAAAAGCTGTGAGTTATTTTCTGTTTTGTTTTTAATTTCATCCAAACGGCAAACTCCTCAGCTGTGGTTTTTCCGGGCGACTTTATGGTGGACATTTGGAAAACAAGAAAGAGAGGAAGAGAGAGAAAATGGGTGGGTGGGTGGCTGGGGGTGGGTTTGCGGGGTGGAAGGCCTCTGTGGGAGAATGTGCGCCCCCCCCCCCCGTAAACTCGCCCCCCTGACCGAAGCCGGT